GCACATTGGTGACCTCAGTTGCACGCCCACTTCTAGAGAGCCCCACTGCTTCCCTCCACTTGGTGTCCTGCAAGGTCTGTGTACAGGCACTCCTTTGGGGTCCTATTGCTGCTGTAACAAATTACCACAAACTTAGTGGCTTGAAACTACGCAGTTTTATTTTCTTATAGTTCTGGGGGTCAGAAGTTCAAACTTCAAGGTGTCAACAAAGCTGTGTTCCTTCTGGAGGCTCTGGGGAGACTTGCTTCCTTGCCTTTTCCAGCTTCTCGAGGCCCCTACATTCTTTGGCTCATGACCCCATTTTCTATCTTCAAAGCCAGCAGGATGGCATCTTCAAATCTTTCTTGCTCTTTGATCTCCGTTTCAGTCATCATTATCTCCTTTTCTTACTCTGACCCTCCTGCCTCCCCCTTAAAGGACTCTTGTGATTACATTGGGGCCATTCAGACAATCCAAAATAATCTCCCATCTGAAGATCCTTAACTTAGTCACGTTTGCAGAATTCCTTACATCATGTAAGGTAACATATTCATAAGATTAAGATGTTGACATTTTTAGGATGCCATTCTTCTGCCTACCCCATGAGTTCTGATGTTATTGTCCAAGGGAGGAAGTGAAGTAGAGGCTTCTGTGACTCCCCAGGGATCAGATTCTAAGGATCAGGGCTGGGGGACACCATCTCTGCTGGAAGCAGGAGCTTGCCCATCCCCTCTACAGAGGACACGTTCCAGGCCAGTGACAGGATCTGTATTGTCATTGATCTGAGGACTCTGCATTTCTCTGCCAGTCCTGCGGCTTTCCCACAGCCAGGAAGCACTGAGCCCACCTCTTCTACTTGGCAGTTGAGAGGCCCTGGGCGCTGGGCAGGGCATGAGATTATTGGGGTTAATCTTGCCTGCCTCATTTTTTGTATTCCTCCTGTCACCTTGACATTAGGCTTTTCAAACAGATTAAGTAACCAACCCCTGACTTCAGCATTTTCTTGAATTCTCGTCGTCTTGATAGTTTTTTTACCTTTATTTGTGTGTTGCTGTTAACCCAGGAAGCAAAAGAAAAAGAGCAGAAAAGGCCCAAGAAATACAGATAAACCTGGGCTTCCATGGAGGCCTCTAGAGAAGCAGCAACCACCCTCCACAGCCAGATTACAATGGACAAGAACCAGAATCTTATGCCTTTTTATTTATTTTGTTCAGCTGGGCCAAAAGTCTAAATTTTTCCTTGTTGTTAGGATCTCCTCCTCCTATAAGAAGCATCTCTGGTTCCCCTGGGCTGAGTTAGGGTATCCTCATGGATGCCCCTTGGCTTCCATGAAGTTCTTTGCCATCACCACATTGTTTTATGATCATCTTTTAGCTCACCCATCTCCCCTTTTACACTGTCAACTTCCTGAGGGCAGGGACTTGTGTCTTATTTATAACTCTCCCACCTACCAGAGTGCCTAGCATGTGTAGTCCCCTTGTAGATGATAGCTGCATGGATGGATGGATGGATGGATGGATGGATGGATGGATGGATGAATGGAAACCCTCATATTTCAAGTTGCAGTGGCCACTGGTCCCCACTTACATGTGGCTTCCCTAAGGTCACTGTATCTCAAGCATGCAGAATTGAGTCTGGCTGGGAAGAGAGAGGGGACATAGCCGTCAGCAACAGAAAGGGGTGCTGGATAGCAGACAGGCAGAGGCAGGACACCTAAGCAGGGCAGGGGCTTGGCAAGCATCCAACAAGTGTTGCCTTCACTCACTGACCTTTCTTCTCTGGACGGAGGCTCAGGTTTCAGCCTGCTGTGAAGGAAGCTGTCCTGTGGTACCAGGAGACTGAAAGTGCCCTCTTTCCCCTCGGTCACATGCTGTGATCACCCAACTGCCGGGTGAAAGGTCAGATGTGGCCTGCAGCCATGGTTCCAAGGAGATTAGTGTCACAGGCAGCCTGTCTCCCTACCTCATTCTCAGGATTCTCTTTTTATTTCTGAAAGACCCCTGTAAAGGGGAAAGGTTAAATATTAGTCAAGGGCTGCGTTCTTGTGAAGTTGCAGAGATAAGCTCAGGCAGGACAGAAGACAACCACCACAAGTTTACTTGACAATGTCTCTCTTTCAAACATCGCGGATCCCCCCAGGATACTATGGAGCCAATCTTTTGAAGGAGTCTTTCTGGCTGCCTTGACAAGAAGGTGATTTTGTGTTTTCTACCCCAGTACATGGGAAGGTAGCCACATTGCCCCTCCTGTTTGGTTGTCCTGCTCTGCCCCTTCTTCCCTTCAAGCACTTTCTTGTCACCTCCCTGCCTTCCCTCTCCTCCCCTTGGTGGGGGATAATTTCTTCTCTGCTCCTTGTTCTATAATCCTTACCTATCTCTGAACCACATGGGTTTTGTGTCCTAATCTTCCTTCCTTTAATAAATCAATCTCCTTTATTTTTTAGACATTATTGCTTGTGTCTGCCTGAACTGCTGGGACACAGGGAGCCAGCTCATCCCGAGCATGCTTCAGAGCCCTGGGGAAGCCCAAATCACAGGCCCAGTTGCTTAGAATGATTTGAGGTGGATTGTCACCAGGCATGTGATCCTGAAATCCTTATTGAATTGAGTAAGATAAACTAAATGTGTATTTATCAGGACATCTCAGTCCATCTGGAACATTTGAGCGTTTACAAAATGTTCTCCCCGTTCAGGCACTTAAAATCCTTCCTCCAACAACTTGTTTTGGTTCTCCTTATATGACACCATCTTGGATAACAGCCCCTCCATGAGGAGTCAAGCGTTTCTACTCTTGAAGTCAAGTTTCCTATTGCTCTTTTGGCTCTTTGAAACCAACTGGGGATCATGTCTCCTTTTGATGAGTTTCCTGGAGAGCAGGTGGATTGGTGTGCATTGGGAAATCTGTAGACTGAGAAGAGATTGGAGGGCTAATGAACTGGGACGTTTTCTTTATCCAAATATTAAATATTTGCTGAGCACCTGCTATTTGCAGGCACCAGTGATATGCCCTGGGATTAAAAACATGAAAAAGTCACATTCCCTGCCCTCGTAGTCTACAAGGAGACAGAGAAAAAGAAACAGATCATTATAATACAAAGAAATAAGTGCCAAAGTTAGATATAACAAAGTGGTCTGGGAAGACAGAGGAGGGACAAACTGTTCCTTGTCCATAAAACGTGGCTGATATATCTTACCTGGCAGGCACATTGTCAGGAATAAGTAAAATAATAACTTACAGAACAGGTGACATTTGAGCTGGATCTTGAAAGATGAGGAATTTGCCAGGTAGAGACAGCCCAGGGAGGAAGATTACAGACGGATAATGTCAGGTGCTTACTCTGCCAAAATGTTCTCAGAATCGAGTAAGGTTGGAAAATATTTGGAAAGTAAATGCACAGTTTCAGGATAAGGCATCAATAGAACTTAATCAGCTGTTCAAGTAAAGTCAGAGACCTGGTTAGAGGCTTGAGGAGAGGGAAAGAGTCCCATGCTTTTAAATGTATGACTTGTACTCTTGGAGAGCTAGGGGGCATCCTGGTCACTGTCTCAGAGGAAGGGGAAGCAAGAGAATTTTAACTTTTCCCCCTTTATTCCCCAGCCTTTCGTAACCAGGTTGAGAGTCCCATTCCTGCAGCACAGGGCCCCCGTGGATTACTTAGGAAGTGTGGCAGTAACACAGAGAACCCCTCCAGCCTAACTCAGCCCCTGAGCTCTCCGCCAGCCCTGGAGGTTCCACTTTGTTGAGATCTCTGTGACTCCTAGGAAAAGAGGCAGGTTAAAAGCCCATCCCCCCCTCCCCCACACACACCCAAAAAGAGATGGTGGAAATAAGCACATGAAAAAATGGTCAAATCATTAATCACCAGGGAAATACAAATCAAAACCTCAATGAAATACCACTTCACACCTATTAGATTAGCCAGGGCCTGCCTACAGTAGCAAATACTGATAAAGATGCAGAGCAACAAGATCTCACACATATTCCTGGTGGGAATGCAAAATGATACAGCCACTTTAGAAAACCATTTGGCAGCTTCTTATAAAGTTTAACTTGCATTTACCATATGACCCAGAATCCTACTCTTAGGTATTTACTCAAGAGAAATTAAAACCCCATTCAAAGACCTCTACAGTCTACTTAAAGGTTTCTGTGCAAGTGTTTATAGAAGCTTTATTTGTAATAGCCTAAAACTGGGAGCAACCCAAATGTCCGTCAGCCGGGGGATGGAAAAATAAACTGATGCATCCATATAATGGAATACTACTTAACAATAGAACGGAACAACTACTGATATATGCAGCAGCATGAACGGATCTCAAAGTATCGTGTTAAGGGAAAGGAGCCAGACCCAAAGGATGCATGTTGTATAATTCCATTTATGTGACATTCTGGAAAAGGCAACACTATAGGGACAGAAATCAAATTAGTGGTTGCCCGAAGTAGGGGAAGGGGACTCATGTCAAAGAAACACAACGTACAAGAGAACTTTTTGGAGTGTTAGAAATGTTCTAACATTTCTAGAGAGTGTGGTAGTGATTAAACAACTAAATGCATTTGTCAAATCTCATCAAATTGTACACTTAGAAAAGTGATTTTTACTCTATATAGTACCTTGACAAACCTAAGTAACAAAAGATTCCCCTAAACCTCTGTTGCCCCAAAACCACACTCAGGAAGATGACATCTAGAACATACAATAACTTGAAAACAAAAATCACACTAGTGCCCTGACCAGCTGCTGATTTCTCCTATACACACAATGCCAGTCCATGCCTACTTCTGGCTTCCAGCCCTGGGTAGGGCATGTTCTGACCAAGCTCTAATTTGTAGCACGTAATCCCCATTTGAAGCCCATTAACCTAGCCAAAGTTTCTGTACACTGGAGCTGAGCATGCGGGATAGTTGGCTCATCTGCTACAATCCCATCATCAGGAACAAGGAGCATTTCTGCTTCTGTGCAGAGGGCGTTCTGCAGCCTTATTGTGGCCCCTAAGGGCATGTTGGGGGGTCTGTCATTTCAGTGCTCCTCACATGGGTCAACTGTTCCAGTGTGCGGTGGGCCACTCGGGTTCAAGACATTTTCACAGCGGGGAAGCTCCTAGCCCTGGCCCTGATCATCATCATGGGGATTGTACAGATCTGCAAAGGTGAGTATCGTTGGAACCACAGGGCCCTGCCCAACTTTCCACCCTTGCTTGTACGCACCCCCTCGCACTCTCTTGGGATGTGTACACTCCCTGAGATTTCCCAACTCTGGCCTTATATGACTTTTCTTCCTCACTTGTTTGACAAAGGGGAAGAGAAACCATCTTCCCAGGAAGTAGGGCATGTCTTGCCCATCAGCAGATTTAATCCTCCCATGCTGATCTCATGGCTCTGAAGACCCCAGATCTCTGGACTCCTATTGCCCTCTTGCCCCAACCCCGTGGAAGCTCCTTGCATCTTATATTGTTTCTTGTCCATGTCTTAAAATGGGGTAGGGGGTGGGGGTGGGGGGGTGGAGGAAGAGATTTTATGTTTTAAAATTACTCACAACCTCAACAAGAGAAAGTTCTGCATTCCTGGGGCTCCTGCCAACATTCCCCACTGGATTTGGTCCTTTCCAAGCCCGAGTCTGTATTTAGTTTCCATGGGACCCATAGCACCATGAGGCTCTGCCCAATGTCACTGCCTCTTGGAGAGAAAGTCAGATGACAAGCAGGAGACCTCCCACCTGCCCACAAGCCCTGAAAGCAGTGTGGGGTGCCTGGATTTTGACTCCAGGAAACATAATTAAGGTTCTGCTATATAAAATGTCCATGACTACTTTAATCAGCTGGATTAAATTCTTTAGCAGGTTATATTGTTTTCAGGAATTAGACTTAAGGAAATCACTATGCTATTTTTTCAAAATTAGTGAGTCCCTCCTAACCTGGTCCCAATGCTTTCTCCTGCCCACTCTAATCTCCTTATTTATTGTCCTGATGCCGAATTACAGATGAATAAATATGGGCAGTTGCTCTGTGTCTCATTATAACCTCAGTCAGCATCATTTCTTGAGGGCCCTCTGTGTGTAGGACACTGTGCTAAGGGCTGGGAAGGCAGTCTAAAAGCTGTTTGTTGAAGGACCCCTGTCCTCAGGGAATCTGTACCATGAAAAGGGAGACCAAACACACACCTTAGAAAGAGATTGGAGGAGATTAACAAAGAAAGCAGAACAAGCCTGAACTAATATAGCATTATGGAAGCTTACATTTGAGTGTTTGTTGTTCCTGATGCTTTCTTCATGAAAATGTACAAACTTAAATATCAGGGAAGGGCTCTAATCTTGTATCTCCAAATCCCAGCAAGCCAGTTCCAATTTACCCACCTAGTTCCCCTCCCCTCCCCAGTGACCTTCCCCTGGCCTTTCCTTCCAAGTAACTTTGCCTTTTAAAAAAAGAACATTCAGAACTGTGCTTTGAACTTGAGCCCCATTGGACTCGTGCTTACCAGGTCCTGGGAGGTCCTGGACCCGTATTTCCCTGCTCCTTTTGGTTCCACTTCTCCAGTACATGGGATTCACTGGAGATAAACAAAGAGGTGGATCATCACCACAGTGAGGTGCAGAGACGGGACCAGCCAGGCCTCTGACTTGTCTCTCTGAGCAGCCTCCTGCCCCTTTGCCCCTTGTGTCCACAGGAGAATACTTCTGGCTGGAGCCAAAGAATGCATTTGAGAATTTCCAGGAACCCAGCATCGGCCTCATTGCCCTGGCTTTCCTTCAAGGCTCCTTTGCCTACGGAGGCTGGAACTTTCTTAATTACGTGACTGAGGAACTTGTTGACCCCTACAAGTGAGTTGAAATAGCCCAGCTCTTCCTCACTCCCTAGAAAGACCAAGGCACCTGCTACTGGAAAGAGGGAGCCCAGTTCTCCTCCTCCCAGCCCCCATTCTGACAACGACTGGATCTAGCCTGAAGAAGTAGTTCGTTTCCCAGGAACTTAACCATTTGCTATCCACCCTGTCAGGAGAAGAAAAATGACCCAGAGACTGTCCCAGAGCAGGTTAAAAGCTGAAAACGGTTCTAAGATAACACCATTGCCTTAGAGAATAAAATGTGCCCTGAGAGGTTTCTAAGCACCTTACTCACCTGTTTCGGGACAGGCAGGTCTTTGTGTCTTGAGGCAGGGGAAGGGGTGCATTGTGAACATTCTGGTCAGGAAGACAGCAACAGGTGTGGAGCATAATTTCCAACCTATGCTGTTGCATTTCCTTTAAATTATCCTGCCCATATTGAGACAAAATCTACCACCAATGCCGCTCCAGGGAGAGGGAGCATCACAGAAGGCTGCAAAGTCAGCTTCAGGCAGAAAGACAGAAGGCACTCCCCGGACCCCATGACGAGGCAGGTGGTCCCAGGTGCCAGGCCTTCCCCATCTCACCTCCTCTCCCTCTACAGGAACCTTCCCAGAGCCATCTTCATCTCCATCCCACTGGTCACATTTGTGTATGTCTTTGCCAATGTCGCTTATGTCACTGCAATGTCCCCCCAGGAGCTGCTGGCATCAAACGCAGTCGCTGTGGTAAGATATCAAACTTGCAGTCCCTCAAGCCAGGAATGTTGACATAGTCTTGCCTGCTTAGCCCCCTCACTTTGCCCTGATCCATGGACTTGTGGAATTGGAAGTCATCCCAAGTCCTTAGGGCAGAAATCATATCTTCAAGCGCCCAGGAGCAAACTGACAGCCACACTGTACCTGGAACAGTCACAATGGCAGAGCTGAGTAGTTGCCACTGAGACTGTATGGCCCATAAAACCGAAATATTTACTTTTTGACCCTTTACAGAACAAGTTTGCCAATTCCTGAACTAGGGCACTTTAAATAGGATGATTGTATAAAGGAGACAGGCGCCTCCCCAGAAAGACATAATTAGCACAAGACGCACCATTTCTCTCTGTCTCCATTTCCTCCTTTGGAAATCGTGCAATCTGACTCATTCCCTCATCATGGAAAAGCATGTGCCAGTAAACGATTCAAAAGTAGGAGTGGGTTGTGCCCTTTGGGGAAAGACATCATGCTGGTCCGAGGCATTGGGGTCCTTGACATCTGGGAAAGACCTGAGAGCCATGCTATTCCCTCACCTGGCTTCACCTGGGCCACAACTACACTCTGCCAAACAATTTCATCACTTGTCTTATCTTAAGACTAAAGAAAGAGGCCCTCCAGTATACTGGAGGGACAGTCTGCTCCATGACCACTAACTAGCCTTCCCCAGCAGGACAGCAATTCTAAACAACCCCTTCCCTATAATATGCCATAAATCAAGTGTGTACTTGGCTCAGAGAATATAGACAAGCTGGTCCTTTAACATTTTATATTATTTCAATACATGAAGACTAGTCTATAGCTTCACTGCTTTTGCTTCCTCAACTTGTGTAGTAGCCTCTTATCATTTCCCCCTACAATATCATTTGTTGCTATGAATTTACAAATTCTCACCCTATAAATTAGAATTCATCTCTATTTTACAGATAGGAAAAGCAAGGCTCAAAAATTAAGAACCTTGCTCAAGGTCTCGCAGCTCCTAAATGTTGGGCTGAGCTTAGAGTCCCAACCTGCCTGACTCACTAGCATACAATGTAGTGAGGTCTAGGCTCACAGAGCTGGTTTCCAGTCCTTGCCCCGCCACTTCCTGGGTGTGTGATCTTAGGCAAGCTACTGAATTGCTTTGTGCCTCAGTTTCTTCATCCATAAATCAAGGATAACAAATGTTAGTTCACTATTAGCAGTACTAGTATTATGATAGTATTATTACCAGACACTGCCTCCTTCAGTTAGCTCAAGACACTTATTGACTCCCAGCTGTATAGTGGTCACTATGGGAAATTGTGGTGTGGGAAGAGGGTCAGGGCACAGATGGCATCCCTCCTCTCAGGAGCTTAGCTACAGACTCAACAAGTTGGGCCTGGGAGGGAGCATTCCCAGCAGTGACCCACAGGTGCGGGGTTGTAACCTCTCCTTTTCTGCTCACCCCTTGTTTTCCCTCACAGACTTTTGGAGAGAAGCTCCTTGGGGTCATGGCCTGGATCATGCCTATTTCCGTTGCCCTGTCCACATTTGGAGGAGTCAATGGGTCTCTCTTTACCTCCTCCCGGTGAGTGCTGTCCAGGCCCTTTCCGAGTCTTGGCCACTCTGCTGTGCATATTGCTCTGTGTATGTGTGGGGGGCTTGTCTCCGTCAGCGGGGGTCTGTGTGGGTACCTGGGTGGTGACCTTGCAGAGGGTGATTGCTCACATGAGGGCATGCGTGTACCAGTATGGATGCAGAGGGGTGTTTGCTGCTCACATGGTTATCTACGATGTGTGTGGCTTTACATGTAGTGGTGAAAAGCCCCATCCCAACCCCATTTGGATAGGTGCCGGGGAGCTGAGAAGGCCCCAGGCTGCCTGACGCAGTCCCAGCTCAGGCGCTATGGTTGGCTGGCAGCAGGACTGTCTCGGCTGTAGCCCCAGAGCCCACTTCCCACTCGCCTCGAAACAGGTTATGCTGGCTAGAAAGGAACCCCACTTTGAAAGGGATCAGGAGGGATCTGTGCCTGGGGCCTCTAGGCTGGCCTCCCAGGAAAGTTCTGGGACCAGGCTGCAGGTGGGATGGGATCATCTCTGAGCACCCTGTGGGTGCAGGCTCCTCTCTGCTCAACAAACAGGCAGCTGCGGGAGGCCTTCATGTGGCGACCCATAAGACTCAGCTGGAGTGTGTGAAGTGAGAGGGCTGGGGAAGAGAGGAAGGAAAGCATTTGTCCAAAGCCATGTCCCCCACCCTAAAACTCTCAGGGAAGCCAGAAGCTTGAGTGGGCCTAGGAGCCCCGGCTCCTGCCTGCACACATCCAGGAATCCAACCTCCTTGGCGCTCCTTCTTGCTATCTCCAGAATGGTCTATTGAGGCCAACAGACACTGGTATGGTTCAAAGGGTCCTCCCAGGGTTCTTAAAGCCCCTCTGCACCCAGGCCACAGTCCTACTCAAAAGATACAACAAAAGGAGTAAGTCCCTGAGTTCAGCTGCTTCCAAAGCCACCCATAACATCAGAGAGGAGTTCCCATGAAATGACAAAGGAGTGCTATGTTTTCAGGACCCAGGGCAGAAAAGAGGGAGTGTGGGTGTCCCTTGTTCCCTAGGACCCTATAACATTCATCCATAGAAACCTCGTGTGCGTGTTACACAGGAGCAGTGACCACCTGGAGGCCCCAGCCGAGGGCGAGCGGTGGAAGAGCAGTGACCCATGAGGCTCTCTGGGATCTATTGGAGGAGAGTGACTGGCTACAGTCACTTTAGAGTGGGGTTTGTCCCTCAGGCAGGCCAAGTAGCGGTCTGCACGCATGTGGTAGCTGTGTGTGCATGCAGGAGATGCGGCCCGGGGTACTCAGCCTCTGACTCCGAGGCACGGCTCACCCACCAGGCCTCCTCTGTTCATCTTCCGGTTCCTTCCTTCCTTCCTTCCTTCCTTCCTTCCTTTCTTCCTTCCTTCCTTCCTTCCTTCCTTCCTTCCTACCTTCCTTCCTTCCTTCCTACTCCTCCCCTCCTTCTCTCTTTCTCTCTCTCACTCTTAAGTGTTTGGGGATATGGAGAGGATGACCCTTCCTAAGGAGTACGAGTGTGTGTGGGTGTGTGTCATGCTTACTGTCGTTGTCTCCTCCGTTGTCAGCTAGCTGGGCAAGGATTGTCTCTTGTGAACTTGACACTTGCTAATGCTGTTAGACCTGGACAATTCCACTTGGCCCCGGCTGCATGTGGAGGAGGGATGTGAATGCAGGACCCTGGCTATGTGAATGCGGGACCCTGGGGCTCCGTTGGCTGCATGAGGTTGCACTATAGAGGGGTGATGCCATGTGGCTGCATGAAACTAGTGACACTGGCCTAGTTATTTGATGATGGCAACTGATGGTGATGCATATGAGTACTTGGGGCCATAATTGACTCCCACACTTTGGATGAGCTGCAGCTGTTAGCTCCACTCTCCTCCTTACACAAATTACAAATGACAGTTCTCTTCAGAACATTCAGCATGTTGGTTCTGTGCCTTTCTGTCCCGATCACACCATCCCCTTCCTTTCAACCCTTAGGTGCTCCTTTCCCTACAAAGTCCTAGAAAAAATTAAAAATGATCTAATTCACACTAACATGCAAATGACTCCTAACAGTTTATATTATTCTCTCTTCTCTTGGGAGAGGAAAGGGGAAGAACACCTGCTTTTTATGTTAAATTTTCTCTTTTTAAAAATAACTCTTAAACATCAATATCCTGGTCATAATATTGTATGATAGTTTTGCAATATGTTACCAATGGGAGAAATTGGGTAAAGGATACATAGGATCGCCCGATATTATTTCTTACAACTGCATCTGAACCTACAAGTATCTCAAAATGAAAAGTTTAATATTTTTAAAATTAAAAAATAATTTTTATTCTGATTGCAAATTTCCTGTCTATTTTGGAATATTGAAATTTTTTTCTTAATGTCTAAGGAAGAAAATTTAAATTACTCATAATCCTATCACCCAGAAATAATCAGTTGGTATTTTAATATATGTTTTTATATGCACTGTAAATAATTTTTAAATTAATTGGAACATATTGTATGAAATCAATACAGTTTTCTATCTTGTTTTTTTCATTTACCATTGTATTGTGAACATGTTCTCAAGCAATCAGTTTTTTTTCCTAGACCATCATTATGACTGCATAATATTCCATCTTATAGATATACCATTCTTTATGTAATCAATTTCCTACTTTAGGCATTTAGGATATTTACAATCTTTTTTATCATCAAAATATCCTTGTATATATACCTTTCACTAACTCTCTATTCCATAGGATGGCTTTTAGGGAATAAAATACGTAACTTAAAGATATAAGTTTTGGGGTATAATTAAAAAAAAAATTTTATAAGAGTTTATTTGGGCCAAACTGATGACATATGCTGGGGAGCAAGATCTCAAATGCTCCCTTAGGTATAATTTACATACAAAAAATACACATCATAAATGTTCAGATTGATGAGTTTTCAATCATTGTAGACAGGCATGTAACCACCACCCACAAGGACATACAGGACATTTCCACATATCCTCCAAATTTCCACGTGTCCCTTTCTGGTCTGCCATGCATTCCCCACCCCCCAGAGGTAACTACTTTCTGACTAGGATATGAATGCTTTTAAGACTTTCCTTGTACAGTTCAGTCCCTGTGTATCCTTTGAGGACGGAGAAGGCACATTTTTTTAAAAAGAGATTAAGGCCTTAGGCAAAGGAAAGAGGCTGCTTCTGCAGCAGCACTCCAGGCATTAAGAGAGACCCACACAGTGACAGCACAATCATCAGTAACCCCAAGCCACCCAGGCCACACTCAGGGTCTCCATGCACCCAGGATCCATCCACTTATCCACTGGCTGCCTCTATTTCGCCTGTACCTGCATTTGTGGTTGTGGGTCCTGTGATTAGTGGGCTGGAAGGTGTGCATGAGAAGGCAAGCACCTGGCTGGAGGGGCGATGCTCCTGTGTGGTAGAAGGAGGGCATGGATGAGGGAGCCCCGGCTGGGGAGGGAACTTCTTTGGGTGGTCCATGGGCCATCATAGGCTGACCTGCTTTTCTCTCCGCCAGGCTGTTCTTTGCTGGAGCCAGGGAGGGCCACCTTCCCAGCGTGTTGGCCATGATCCATGTGAAGCGCTGCACCCCCATCCCAGCCTTGCTCTTCACAGTAAGGGCCCCTCCTTCTGCCAGTCCTATGCATACCCTCCATCTTGTGCTTTCTCTGAGCTGGGAGTTCACACTTCCCACACATACCCCTGTCGCCCTTCTGGTCTGCAACTAGGTTTCACCAGGTCCTAGATAATCTGGCTAATGGTATATACATAGGCTTTACTAATATAAAGAGATATAACAAGAGATATGAGTCCTGAAAGACCTCAAGGCTCTCAGGTCAGGTCATTTCCATCCTCCCATGCTTTTGGATCAGACTGAAGTGACTTCCTCAAGACTCTATAACCTCACAAAGAAACCTCTCCTTTCTTGGCTGTCTTATGCACCTGTTGCCCACAGGATTGCAGCTTTGGGCCTCTGCTCCCAGCCAGTCCTGACACACCCCGTCCTCTCCCCATTGATCTTCTTGTCCCAAGGAGGCTCTGCTAGTCTCTTGGGAACATCACTAAAACAAATTCAGTGTTAAGAGTACACCAAATAAGAAAAATCATAAAAGAAGACCAGTACACTGAAAATGGAGGAAAGGAAATGGGATGGGGAAAACACAGGTGTAAAATAACTCCAGAGTAGAATTGTTTTCAGAGAGCAAAAAGGAACAAAGATTTGTCCCTATTAAGTCTTTTAAGTTATTTTTTTTCCTTTTGGATCCTGAATAAAACATTGAAAATGACTTTGGTCCTCTGGAGAAGCAGTTAGACCAGGATAGTAGAGCTCTCAGAAGTCAAGGGCATTTGTTGTACAACATTAGGGGGAATTTCAGAGTGTTCAGATGCAGGATGAAGGTCATCGTGATTGCTTAGTTGTGAAAGTTGAGAAAACTCAATACTTCCAACAGCCCACGAACTTTTTTCAGTTTGAGTCATTGGTGCAGCACTATGACTACAAGGCAAATACTCTAAGAATCTAGCTTTTTCATCAGTTAAAATCTTCTTGATTATTTTTACCATCAGATCTCACAGGAAAACAGAACCTTCTATTGGCCTTAACGAATGAGCAGAAGAAAAAGAACATGGTTCTGTGAAAACCACTGAGATGATTTTGAAGTTGGAAAGTGGGCTTTATCAAGAAAACTTCACAGGGATGTTATGAGGGTTAAATGAGTTAATATTTGTAGAATGTGAAGAATAGGTCCTAGGTCCTGGCACCTAGTACATGCTATAATTATTTACAATATTTTTTTTTAAAAAAAAGGAAAGGAAGGAAGAAAAATAAATTAGATGACTCAGACAAGAGAAGAGGATGAAGGCAAGATAAAGCCTTAATCTGAAGTTAACAATCTTCCCTAAGGGATAAAAAAATGAAATTAATTTGAGCTACAACCAAGGGAGAAATATAAATGAGACTAGAGCGGACATAGAGCCAGATGTCACCAGTATGGCCAGTCCAGTTATTTAAGGCCAAAATCTTTTCTGAAGAGTTAGTGCCTATGCCACACTAGTGATTAAATATTTTGATTATCACCCCTGCAATCAGAAAGAACTTCCTGGCAATGACTGTGTTAGCAATGGCCTGGGTTTCTAGAGGGAGGTTGTAAAGTCTCCATTTTGAGACATCCTTTATGAAATGGCACCATTTTCCTGAGACAGGGGCACAGTCCTTGACCTGGAAACAGCTCCAGTCTCCAAATACCCTTCTGATCACTGATGTGCTTCTCCTCACCTCCACCCCCCAGTGCATCTCCACCCTGCTGATGCTGGTCACCAGCGACATATACACACTCATCAACTACGTGGGCTTCATCAACTACCTCTTCTATGGGGTCACAATTGCTGGACAGATAGTTCTTCGCTGGAAGAAGCCTGACATCCCCCGCCCCATCAAGGTGCGAGAACCTCCCCATGGAGTCCCCTCCCTCTTCTCTACTGGTTCTAGCTGCAGCTCAGATTTTTCAATCACCTTTTTCTCAGCTGCTGACCACAGATCATCTCTATGGTGGTATCAGATCATTTGGGAAGCAAGGGCTATATATGAATGCGGCAGCCATTTATTTTCATTCTCTGCTGGGATAGGACCAGAGCAAATTGCACCTGGAGAGATGTTAGATTAAATGATACTTTCATCACATCATTCTTTTACACATCACATCAGTAAACTCCAGCTGATTATTCAAGGCTTCCTTTTGTCTCCAACATTTCCCTGGCCCCTTTAGTCTCGCCAGTCTCTTCCTTGTCCCTCCAGATAGCTGGGTCCACTCGTGCTATGTTTCTATCCCAGAATGAGTTTCCTCCTCCCATCTGCCTATTCTAAACATTTCTTCCATAAGCTTCAAGCACCTCCTCTTCTTTGAAGTTTCCCAGTCCACTCCAGCCATCTATGACCCTCCCTTTTTAAATTACTGTGGCCCTACGCATAGCAGGGTACCCACTGAACCTACTGATTGCTGCAAGAAATAACTTTGTGATGGAAATGATGGGATTGCTCAGAACAAAATATGCAAGAGTGCTACCCGTATTTTGCCATGTGTAATGCGTTCCTGTGTATAATACGCACCCACATTTTTGGCCCAAACTTTCAGGGAAAAAAATCTTTCATTTTAATTTTTTAATTTAAATTTTTACTTGTTTACATTTAGGTACTTGTTTTTTGTATTATAAAAGAATTTTAGTATTTATTTTAACATTATGGTACAAGAAATTTTATGTAACAAACAATTACAAAACACAAGAACAGATACAAGGTACAAGAAATTTTATGTTATTGATTTCTAGAGTTACACTTTAACTCATAAGCATAAATAAATGAATTAAAAACATTTATATAGATACAGAGTTAGTACTACCCATGTATAATGCACATCTTTATTTTTCCCCTCACAAATTTAGGCAAAAAAGTGCGCATTATGCATGGCAAAATATGGTATTTTCCTGCAAATTAAAAGAATAGAGTGTAGCTCTGAATTATTTGAACAATTCTATTCTGGAAACAGAGGGAGACTAGATGCTTCTAGAAGATTCTTCCAGCTGAGGAATCGAGGGCTCTCCAAATCTCTGTTTTCCACTGCCACTTTCCTACCACTCTTAGAATGCCTGCCAGAGGGAAGAGGAGGTAGAAGAAGCCCATCTCCCCACCACATGCATACTCTCTGAGAGGAGAGGACAAAGAGGAGAAAGGCAGCTGAATCTAGAGGCTTGATGAGGACGCTACTGGTAACTCCCACCTGTGGTCAACAAAAAGGAATGAACCCCAGAGAGAGATGCTTCTTTCTGAATAAAGTCAAGGCCTCAGACTGCCTTATATTTGCTAGGTTTCTTGATTTCTCAGGTCTTGGCAGATTTATCTCCTCAAATTGCTTGAGAGAGACAAATTGGGACTGATCCTGGTGGGAGGAATGGCCATTTGCCAGGTGCCTAGATGAGGGCCTTGCTTAGAAGTGCGCAAGGGATAGGGAACTGACTGACCCAGGTTGTTTCCTTCTTGCCCCTCATTTCTCCACCCATCCTTCAACCTAGGATCTAGCAAGCATATACCAATGTACCAGCAAGCTTACCAGTCCCCACGGGCTGCTCTGGCTGCCACAGGCACATGGCGTGGATGACAAGGCCTTGTTTGATCCCACCTAGGAGGCAGGAGATGGGCAATGAGCATCGTTGCCTCCCTTGGTCACCCCTTCTTCTTGTCCCACTGCCTATGTTCACCAACAGTCATTGACGCAGCACTTGGCCCTATCAGAGCTCAGTGTGTGACAGCCACAGAACTGAGTAAAGCCCAGCCTTTGCACTCAGAGATGCTCCCTGAGGGTGAAGAAGAGGGAGGGTGCCCTGATCCTGGGGCCACGGGGTCCACACAGCTAACAGCACCTCTTCTCTACAGATCAACCTGCTGTTTCCCATCATCTACTTGCTGTTTTGGGCCTTCCTGCTGATCTTTAGCCTGTGGTCGGAGCCTGTGGTGTGTGGCATCGGCCTGGCCATCATGCTGACGGGAGTGCCCGTCTATTTCCTGGGTGTTTACTGGCAACACAAGCCCAAGTGTCTCAATGACTTCATCAGTGAGTTGTTGAAGGTTCTGGGTGGCTAGAGGGCCTCCTGGTCTGGGATAGAGTGGTCATGGCCTGGCAGGGGATCCCCACCAGAATCAGGAGGCTTAGGCTGGGTCCCAGAGCTCTGGGGAAGGAGTTGGGGGTTAGGAAAGGACAGGTACCTTCCCAGAGACCTCAGAGGAGAGAACAGCTAACGTTTTCACACAGACTTTAGACCTGTAGGAATAGGCAACTTGATAGCTATCCTGCAGGAGCTGCCCTGGGCTGGGTAGAGACTAGTGAAGACCCTGGAAGTGGTGGTCAGTGAGCGTGGGCACAGTGAAAAACTGGAGCCTTGATGAGCAAGGGGCAGCAGGCAAACAGGTTTCCCACAGACACAGGAGGCAGGTGAGGTAGAATCTCCTGGAGAGGGTATCTCCCGAAGGCACTGGTGGCTCTGCTGAGGCAAAACCGGGGGCCGGAGAATGGGGAAGGGCATGAGCAACCAGGCTGGTGGGACACTCGGCACTGACCTGGTTCCTGTGTGACCTTCTTTCACAGAGTTGCTGACCCTGGTGAGCCAGAAGATGTGTGTGGTTGTGTACCCTGAGATGGGGGAGAGCTCGGAGACAGAGATGATAAATGAGGACATAGAGGAGCAGCAGCAGCCTATCAACCAACCCATTGCCTCCAAGGACAAGGACTCAGTGGAACAGTCCCAGCCCTGAGGACCACCATCCCCTCTCAGCTGCCTCCTCCCTCCTTCACCCCCTTTCTGCTCTCCTTCCCTGCCTGGGTCCCCCCAAACACACCCACACACACACACACACACACACACGCGCACACACACACACACACACACACACACACACACACACNCACACACACACACACACACACACACACACACACACACTCTGCTTCTGTCAAGCAGTGACAGGAACTGGGAGTGAGTGGTGAGAAACTATAAACAAAAACTCTAATATTTGTACCCAAAGAACTAGAACTTCACCTGCAGGAACTGTGTCCAAAGCCAGGGCTGCCCTATGCTCTGAGCTGCTAGAGGAGAGTGGAGCTGCAGGAGTGCCCTATAGGGCCCTCCCTTCTGGGCCCACACCCTTATTGCCTCCTCAGGAACATGAGTTCAGTACTGCCTTCCTTCCCCATTCCTGAGCCCAAGGGAGGCTTCAGCTCCTAGAGAAGTGGCAGCAACAAGCAAGAGTGAGCCATTTGAGGAGGGGCAGATTCAAGCAAATCTGTCATCATTAAAGGTCAGCTGGAGAGACCCGTATCCCCTCCCTTCACTGGGGACCCAAAAATCAGAAGCAATGCTTTCCTCTTCCCTCTTCCAAACCCCTCCACGCTGTGCCTCCACCACCCCAGCATGGGCTCCCTGTCCAGAGTTAGATTCCTGTCAGGACGCCACCCCCACTGAGCTAAGGACCAACAAAGCAAAATAACTGCCCCTCCCCTGACCCCCAGCCAGCCTGAGAAATAGCATTGGGAAAGGCTCAGATTGCAGAAACGCCCTGCCCCTGCCCCCTGCATCCTGCCCCCAACTGGGTGCCAAAGCTTCCTGAAACCAGAAAGGTCTCTCCTGATGACAAAGCAGCTCAGCTTCTTCTCCCTCCCCACCCCCATGGGAAGGAGCAGTCACCCTGTCACCCTGCAGCTATGCTCCCAACACACCCCCACGCAGCCAGCACTGCCTGTGCCCCCATCATGCCCTTTTCCTCCTCCCTGGACCTTGGCTCCAGGACCTGGAACTGGGTGTGAAGGCTCCCCAAGCCCTTCAGGCCTGAAACCCGAGCCAAATCAGCCTTAAGTCACCTCCCATCCAAGAACTGAACCTAAAAATACTCCCTTATTTCTAACCTTCAGGGCAGACTTGGTATGAAAAGCTTTTCCAGGAGGAAGGGTGCTTTCCCATCTCCCCAGAAGTACCCATCCCATAACCTTGGAGACTGGGGAGAAAGTCTCTTCTGAAGGCCAATTTCTCCCTTCTCCCCCAACTCATATAACTTCTCCCTCTTTTCGGGTTCCACCTCTGTCCTGTCTTTGGACATACTCCAGGGCAGGGTGAGAGGGCAGTGACAGAAGGCGCCCACTTTGAAGCCCCTTGGAAAAGCCTGCTGTTGTCCATGGTTTATGGACTCTGGCAGACACTGCCTTTCCCTGTGCTCCAAGGAAGGAGGCAGTGTTTGCCCTGGGGCTTGAGCCTTCTCCACCATCCCTGTTGTGCTAAGGACTAGGATCCTTTTATCCCAAAGCAGGAGTTCCTCCATTCCCCAAACTCCCCAGCCCATCTGCTTAAACTGGAATACCGTGGGAGCCCTCCTGACCTGCTCAGATCTCCCAGCTTCCAGCCCAGCCCGCCTGACCCTGTTTTGGTGAGTTGCCAGGTTTGGTCTGAGTTGTGGCCCCTTCAAAGTGGACTCCAGGGGAGCTGGAGCTGGCCCCTGGAGGGTTAGGGGACCATCCTCTTTTTCCCCCTTCTCATTCCTCCAACCTCATTTCCCCCCTTCAATTGTTGTGGGTTGTTTGTTTGTTTGTTTGTTTGTTTGTTTGTTTGTTTGTTTGTTTGTTTTGTAAAGTGGATGCCTTTTTGGATAAATATTTTTGAAGCTGGCATTTCTATTTCTTTGGGGTTTTTTAATGTATGGTTGTTCTGGGGAGAAGGGAGTTAGTTATACCTGGATAATAATCTTCTGTCTTTCAGTTGGTTTAGGTTTTAGAAGGTTCATTTGTTTTGTGAAGGGTTTGGGTTTTGTTTTTTTTCTTTTGATGTAATAAAATTTAAAATGGAAATCAAGTCGATGGTATTGGTAATTCAATGATCTTCTGAGACAGAGTCGCCAGGCACTTCCTATCTTGTCAGGAGATCTTTGGTTGCCAGATTCCTTCCAGGATGGCATTCCTAAAAGCCCTCGCTCTGTCCCAGCAACCCAGTGCCAGCACTTTCAGACAGCTACCTCTTGTTTTGAACCAAAACTTGTTCTCATTGCTTCCGTGAAGTCACAGTGTTATTACATTCCTGCTGTGTGCCCTGTGCTGAGAGCCTGCAGACTAGCAGGCTGGGAAGAACCTCATCACTCACTACCCAAGATGGGAACATAGGCACCAAGTGAGTGGAGGGAGGCGAAGGCAGAGGTGGTCCCCAAGGCCTGGTGGTCAGCAAAGTCTTCAGAGCCAAATGGGAAAGGAAGGGACAGCCTGAGCCTGTGGAGAGACGCAGAGTGGGAACTTAGGAGAGGACCCAGCTGGGCCCAAGGGACTTGATGGGAGGGCCTGAGAAGTGATGTGGAGTCCACTTAGCTGTACAGAGCTGCACAATAGGAAGATTTCTAGGTCGAAGACTAGGAGGACTGTTGCACTAGTACAAATGAAGAAGTGGTTAAGGTAGGGACAAGGGCCTCCTGATGCTTTGGGTTAATTGCTAGAGGAAGTTGACAGGATTAGACCCTGTCATTGCTTGGAGTCCCTTCTTTGTGGGCAGCCCTCCTGGCTGCCTACCCTGGGACAGCCTCTTTCCAGAGCCAGCATGGCTGAAAGACATGGGCAGGAGAAAGGGCAGGGGTTGAGGGGTGTTAAGACATCACCCTTCGCCACCTGGGACACTGTAAGGACACAAGCAGGCAAGATGCCTCTACTCCCTGTCCTGCTGGCTCCAACACTCCTGCTTTGTGGTTGACATTCTTCTATCGTAGACTGAGGTTGGAGGTTCACCATTTACGGGGGCACAGACTCTTGGCTCTGAGTCCCAGGTCAGCCACCAAACAGCTGTGTGTCCTTGGGCATGTCAACCAATTTAGCACTTTTGCGGCGGGGGGAGGAAAGAAGAGCATGGAACCTAATTTCAGTGTTCCTCAATCCCCCAGCCCAAGGTTGTCCCAAAAGCATGAGGGCAAAATTAGGCAGAGGCCAGTCTCGTGCAAGAGACCCTTCTCTAAGCATCACAGCCACCCTTTGGGATCACCTCTTCCCCATTGCACACTTTTCCTTTCCCTGGGCTGCACGAGGTCTCCTCCATGTCACCCCATTCCAGCAAGTCCAGCCCTCTCCAATCCCCTCTCACTCCATAGAGACACTTGTCCCTGGGGGCCTGCTCTCTCTCTGTAAGGTGACACTTGCTGATTTTTTCAACCTGGTCAAATGGGCAAATGTGGGTCTCTGCCTGAGCAACATGCATTTATTTTTAACCTGGGCCTTTCCCCTGTCTTAATCCTGTCAGTCCCATTAATGCTAGGAACTCAGATGCTCAGACCTTAGGGAGTTCAGGAGCCTTTTGGAGGTCACTGAAATCATAGCTGCTTAAGTATTCATTAATTAATACAGTCACACAAGAAATATTTTTATAACCATTGTGTCCAGGGGTTTTGCTATATGCTGTGGAAAAGCAAACTTACGCCTGAATTTTTCAACTTAGCACAGACTTCAAATATTTTGTTTCATTTGCCCCATAAGAATATTCATACATGTCAAACCACCTGTCCCTAATTTTAATTCAAGCATATGGTCACTACAGCTAAAGAGGTCCAAAAGATGTATCTGACCTTACCCTCAAGGAGCAGATAGTCTGCAGGGGAAGAAGGCAAGAATGCACATGGCACAGATATGTGCCTTCATGGCATCACTGACTGTGCACTCCGGCTGGACCCGAGATGGACCCGGGGGCTGAAGCCGCCAGATCCCTAGAGCCTGCATAGTGCCTGGTACCTAAGTGTTCGAAAACACTTGTCAATTTGAGGCATCAGATGAGGCTGCAGACAGTGTATCTGCTTAAGAGACACAGATAAATCACAATAGGCGGTCAGAGGAAGGACAGAAAGAGACCGAATATTGCTTTCCATATATTATCTTATTCAAAGTTTAATTAAACAACCTGACAAAGTAGGCATAACTACTGCCATTTTACAAGTAAGATTAAGTAACTTGCCCAAGGTCACCGAGATGATGACAAAGGCAGAATTTGAGCCCAGTTCTCTCTGACACTACACGGCCATGCTCGGCCACCTCCCTGTTGGAAAGACATGGTGAAAGGGGTGGCCTTTGAACTGAGGCCAGTGACAAAGTCAGTAAGATAATACACATGCATTGCTTCAATTAATGCAAACAGGTAGCAACTGCAGGGGCAAGATCCTGCTGATCTGGGAGGCTTTCTTTCTATTCCTGAGCAACTATGCAGAACCCAAGAATCCCCCAGCCCTTTACTGGCACTGCCCTCCCCAACACCCTTCCTACCCAGCAACCCCTCCTCCCCTGCCCAGACATCCAGAGCTTCTCTTGCCCAGCCAAACCCCTCGGTTGCTGGGAAGCACTGATATCAGTGTGCCAGCAATGTCAGCCACCAGCCTGGGAGGTGAGGGACTAAGATCACTTATCTCCCCATGGCCGGAGCTGTCTGATTTTCTCATTTCCTGCCAGCTCTATTTGCACACCTCCCTGCTTCCTCCAGCGCTGCTTCACTCACCACTGACGCAGTCTCCCTCTCCCCCAGGATGGCTGACAGAGAGCAAAGAAGGCTCTCAGAGTCACACAGCTGCCCCTTTCCCTATCTCTTCTTGCCTGGGGGTTTCAAGAACTAGCCCAATGTCCTTTCCCCCAAGATCAATGCTGTATCCTTGTGTGACCTTGGGCCTCAGCCTCTCAGCCTTGTTTTCCTCATTATAAGGTAAAAATAAAAATACCATCTGTCTTGCTTACCTTCCAACTTAACTCACAGGGAAACTGTCAGCATGGAAAAGTGTATATTTCAATGATAGAATGCATAACACCAGAAAATGCCAGCCTTTCACCATCACCACCAGTATTTCAAAGTTGGGGAGGGACAGAATTTCTCACTAAGACAAGGCCCTGGCCCCAGTATTCTCAGCCTGCCCACTCTCTCTGTAACTGCACTGAAACCCTTCATCCCAGCCATGTTTCTTCTTCCTCCTTCCCTACAGACGCTTAGCTTGTAGGTGCCAGGGCTGTGGGTGCCAGGGCTGTGGGAGGCTGCCCTCTGTTGTCCACCTGATTCCTGACCACAGCAGCCCCTCAAGTCCTGAATTTTGGACCAATATTGTCACCTGGTGGTCAACAGAGGCACTGCTGCCAAACTGAAGTAACAGCTGTGGTACCTGTTTACCACAGGGTCCTTAGAAATGAGAAGGCAGAAGAAATCTCCCCACCTGAGATCTGTCTCTGGGATGCATGGAGTTCTACCCATGCCAAGTCAGGGCTTTCAGAGAAAGCACCTCAAACCCTGTACCGAAAGCTTCTGGGGTAGTGTGGAAGTGAGGAGGGATGGAGGAAGAGGATACTAACTAGAGGGGTAACTTGCCTGACTTGTAGGCAGCCCTGTCTACATTTGCATACTCTCTTTCAGTGTTCAATGCCACACATATCCCCCTACATTTGCCCCACTGTGGCCTGGCGCTTGGTGTGCCAGCCTTATGAAACCTTCTATCCCCCTACAGGGCACCCACAGCAGTTGCTAGTGACAAAAGAGCCTGTGATATATTTCTTTTTTTTTCTTTTTTTTTAGTATTTTCTTTTTTTTTTTTTAAGATTTTTATTGGGGAATTGGGGTGATGGGAACAATGCTGGGGAATTGGGGGGAGGGGAACAGACAAGTTGCTGTCCTTTTGTTCTTCAGTCTAGTTGTGGAGGACATCACTTCACTGGCCCAAGTTGGCACCATCATTGCGCTCTTCCCAGGCGAGGCAGATCAGTCGCCGGCTTCTGGACGGCCGCTCACAGTGGTTGCTGGCCACTCACGCTGGCTGCTGGCTACACACGGTAGCCCATGGCAACCCACTGCCACAGGGGCTGCAGCCTATGCTGTCGCCGGCGACTCATGGCAGCCCAGCTCCAGGTTGAGCTGTTGTTCAGCATCTTAGCTGTGGAGGGCAGTGTCACTGGCCCTCATATGTGGGATCCGAACCGGGGCCCTCTGGCATCCCAAGCCAGTTCTTAACCATCACGCCACTCGGCCGGCCCGCCTGTGATATATTTCTATGTGTCCTTTTTCACTGGACATATAGTCCCTTTTTTAGATAGACGGAATTTGACAAGTAAAAGCAGGGTCACAGCCCAGTGCCTCTGACAGAAGGGAGTGGGGAGTTCCCAGAGAAAAAGAAAAGGGAAGGAAGAGGGGACCCAGCATGAGACCAAAAGTACAGAGAGTAAATCCTGGGATTCTCCTGAAGACCCTGAAACAGAGCCCCAGGAAGAGGTGATGACAAAAGACAAGGCTTCTCAAGCCTCACAAGAGGAAGTGGACCCAAGAGACACACATCGAGGTCAGAGAACGGCCATGAAGAAGGAAAGACAGCAAACTGAGCTATAGCGAGTGCCTGAGCCCTGCGGCCAGGGCACAGGAAACTGGGCAGAGCCCCAGGACCAGAGCAGGGCAGGGCGCCAGCCTGAGGCTCTGGCAGCACAGCACAGCTAGAAGAGGGAGGCACTGGAGCCACCGGAGAAGTGCAATTGTCAGTTCCTGGGGCAGCAGCCTGCCTGGGCCTGGGGCACAGAGCCCAAGTCCTGACCAGGGCCTTCAGCCAAGCCAGGCACTCAGGGACAGTGCCAGGCTGCTAGAGCCAGCCAGGGCTGGCAACATATGAGGGTTTGGGCTATTGCACAGACCTTGTGCAAAAATCTAGCAAATAAGCATGCTCTAACGCCACAACACATGCTCCATGTATGGCTTGGTCCCAGAACCTATCACTACTTCCTAGACCTCTTAAACACCCCCTGGCCAGCACCCAGGAGGATGACCTGGGAGGTGGGGCTACAAAAGGAACTGACT